GATTTTAAACTTCACTAGCTTTTCGGATTGGAAAGTGAATCTAGTTGGTGCATTGGGGAATTCAAATTTTGAATTTCTCAGTATTTTACAAAAGCACTTGAAAAAACAAAAAAACAAATTTAGGAAAAATGAGATTTTTGAACAAAATCAATTTTTGAAAAAATCGAATTTTGATACTGGTATAACTCTAAAACAAATTACTATAGACATATGAAATTCAATACATGGCTCCTAATAAACGGTTACAATGAAAATTAAAAAATATAAAAAATGCATTGACATAATTTGTTTTTAATAAGCATATTAAGTTCAAATKTTGACAAAATTTATTTGATTGAAAATTTTAAAATTCTTTGGTTGTTAAAAATTTATAATATGTTTAATTTTTAAAGCTAAGGATTAAAAATTTAAAACATGGTTCCAAAAAAATCTAAAAACTTTACAAACATAGTTTTTTTATAGTTTTTTTAAGTTCGAATTTGGATTAAATAACATAGGTACTAAATAACCAAGAATAACAATTTGAGTTATTTTATTGAAATTTAAAAATATCATTCTTAGGTACTTAAAATTTCTAGAGTATACTTTATATTCTAATATTAATAGTGATAATGTCGTTAATGACTTAAAATACTTATATATGATACTTCATRATACATTGTACATACTTACTTTATGAATGACTGARTAAGTCGGGTAACTAATGAATCTGATTGATTAATTTGGAATTTATTTTATAAACACTTTTTTTGAAATAATAGCAATGTAATTTGTATAGTATAAAACTGTAAAATGTTCTAGAAGGACAAACCGTCTCCGCTCAGTATCGTTTTTCGTATGTAATGATATAATATTATTGAATTCATATTTAATACCATCCATTACAGTAACCCATTTGTAAGCTAATGTAAAGCAGAACGACATCTAATTTTATCAAATTAAATTTATATTGAATTTTTTTTTTTTAGAGATAATACCGATGGTCAACTTTTAAATAGAAGTGAACCACATATGATTGAGTCTACAACGTACAATGCTTTAAATCCAACTAAAGTATTAGTGCATGGTTGGCTTGGTAACACTCAAGAAAAATCGGGCGTTTGTTCGTACAATGTAAAATGTAAGTTTGTTAATGGTACCTAATTAGAAAAATATAACTTTGACTTTTTTTCGAACGCTTACTATTGAATTTCGTTTATACATTTATATTTTTATAGGTTACCAAACCTATCGATTCTAAATGAAATCGTTAGATATTTCGATGACTCRAATAATATTTGGTTATTACTACCAGTTACAAAAATTATTTTTTGTTCATAAAATTTGATAAGGATTTTTTGATTACTATTTTGCATTTATTCGTCTATAATGGATAAGATTTTTTACGTATAGTGTAGTATGGATGACATTTTTTTTTAAATATTTGATTCAATGAAATATTTCACAGCGTATTTTAAGGTGGGTGAATACAATGTGATTTGTGTGGATTGGAAACAGTATTCGACTGATATATCCTACAAAGTTGCAACAGTACGAGCCAAACACATCGCTCACGATATAGCTAAAGTCYTGAAAAGGATAACGTATGACATGACAGAAGGAATTGATACTTTGCATTTGATCGGACACAGTATGGGAGCYCATATTGTTGGATTCGTAGGGAAAGAGTTGACCAATCAGATTCCCCGAATTACGGGTAAATACTTATACAACTGTATAAACGTTTTTAACAATGCATTTTTAAAATAATCATATTACATATTCCGTTATAAAATACATAAATGTTTGTATTTAAAAAAATATATTTCAGGATTAGATCCTGCAAAGCCAGAGTACGAAGACAAAGGCCCAGAAGACAGACTCTATATTACTGATGCGCATTTTGTAGACGTTATGCACACAAATACTGCCAAAAATGGCTTTGAGAAATCAATTGGACATATAGATTTTTTCCCAAACGGAGGGAAAACACARCCAGGTTGCAAATCTTCAGACAAAGGTAATGTTTTCTAAAATAGACTTATGGTTCAATTAGATGACTTAAAATTAATTTAAATATTTTTAAAATTGAATTGTAAATCATAATATACGTATAATTTATATTTGAATTGACCATGTAAGTTAAATATTAAAGCATTTGTGCAGCTCCAAAGATATAATAGATGRGAAAAAGAACATTATTATAAGTTGTAACTGAATAATTAAAAGATTTATCTTTGTTTGCTGATATAYTCAACTCAGATCTAAAATATATTTTAAAAGACCATTTCAATGCTAAAATAATTTTTCAACTGTTTATGAT